ACCTTAGTTAAATTCCTCCTATGTCTATTTATTTTAACTTCCACAGTGACATCCACCTTTCCCTTTATTCCAAGTTGTGGTGCCCAAATGTTTTCTTCTATATCACGAATAGCACATATAGTTCCATTCCATTTCTCAACATTGTTCCCATCTTTATTATTCTCATTTTGTGGTGGTGGTGACATTTTATACCCCAAATCTTCAACATATGTGTTCACAAAGTTATAAATATATGGGACAAAACCATTTAGCTCCTTCACTGCATCTTCCTTGGACATACAAGCTGAGTACAACATCTGAATACAGTCTGATCTATTCAGCAACTTCTGCACCACATCCATAATTGTTGACATTGTACTGATGCTACATTCCAGCACCTGCAGGGGTCAGAACAAACATTTAGTTATTTCACTGAGTCTAATAAAAAGATCCTATATAAGTAAATAAGCATTTAAATAACAATCTAACAAGACCCTACATAAAAGGTACATGCAATATTTGTTGGGTGTCTTATATTTTGAAAAGTAACATGCCTTACATCCAAGAACTTATTTTCTTTAAATAATGTGCAGAAAGGATGGCAAGAATTATAAACTGCCATTCATTCAACTTGCTGACATACTTGTGTGCATAAACACTATTAAAAAAAAACCTTGACATACAACACAATACAGAATAAAATGGGTAAATGAAGGGCAGCGGAAAAAGAATTACCTCTTGAAGCAATTCGTGCACCAAACTACCAATGACCATGATGCGGGAATCACCATCTATGCCTCTAAACCACTCCGACAGCACACCTCTGCGGCCACAGAAGTGTGACCCAACAACAGCTGTACTGGAAATCAATGTATCAGGGTGAAGCACAAGCAGGCCCGCAGAGTTGCTAACAAACCATGATGCAGTGGAATATGAGGCCTCACACTGACTGGCCTTGACACTTACAATGTCACCAATTTCCAAGTCAATGTCTGCCCTGCAAATTAAATTTACTGGTCAGTCTCCTTCAGTAGCATATTAATGAACTAATCATTGGAAACTGTCCTAGACATAGCCATTACTATAGTAAAGTTGTGCTGATGTTTAACTAATTTCAATGCCATGCAGCTGTATAGGAAACTGGAGGCATAGCTCCACGCGTCCTTCCTTAGCCTTGGCACTAGAAGGAGATGGTCAGCTTCATGTGCTGACTGCTTGAGACTCTAGGAAGAACCTGGGGCCATAGAGATGGTCTGGATGTTGTGACAGAGAAAAACTCTGCCTGCAGGAAATCAAACCCCAGCTATCCAGCCCATAACCTAGTCACTATACTGACTCAACCATCTCAGCTCTGAAGCCATTACCAAGGACAATACAACAACTGGCTCATATCATGATACACTGGTCAGTGCTACTGAGCAATGACAGTAAATTTTATTATTTCTTAACACCTGTATCATATTGTTGGGTTACAAGAGAAGAGTAAGAACTGTGAATAATATATTTTGGTGTCAACGTTGAACACAACATGCCAAAAGCTCCACTAAGTAAGTTTATGTAAGCAGTACCCAAAGACACAATTTTACCCACCACTGGACGCAATAAGCCAACGCTATCCACTCCACCTTCGGAACCTCTTGACGTTATTCTTCGATATTTTTGTTTTACACACGGCTGCTTTCCTACCTAAAAAGTTTCTTGGTATTCTGAATTCAATTAAAATGTTACACAGTAATTCTCCTGCAGCAGTCAGAGTATGTGGATGTGTTGAATGTATTTGTGGGTACTTTTCGATATCAACATGAACATTAAATAGTCTCACCAGAAACGTTTGTGGGTACTTTTTGATATCAAAATGAACATTAAATAGTCTCACCAGAAACCCTGCAGCAAACACGATGTTGTGGCTTCACTGTGTGTAGAACGAAGCTTAATTTTTTTCTCCCATTTCTTGTTTCCACTTAGCTCTATGATCTCACACCGTTGGAAATTTTCCAGGCTTAATTCGTCTTCCTTCCCCATAACCACAGTTCTAAAGTAAAGACGTCTAAATTTAACATTAGTGAAGTAACTTATTAACTCACAGGTTATTCAACAATGAGATTAAAACTACATTACATTAAAACTGTGAGATCTTTTATTAGAAAAGTCTTCTTGTCACACACATTTACAATTATTAGCATTATTTTTGTCAATTCTAGCATCAAATTCTGACCAAAGAAAGTAGAACTTGTTCAATATTCATTAATTCACAACAGGTAATTACAGTAAGACAGAAAAAGAGCAAGAAAGCAATGCAAAGAGCAATCCGTTTAGTGCGTACAGCATTAGCATTTTCATAGGTTAATAAGAACCCTCAATAATATCAAATTTAATCAAAGCTGTTTACACAGAGCAGTTGCTGTATAGGTAATCAGAAGCCAATAATTAAAAATGCACTGTTAAAAAACTCACCTGAAAATCAGGGAAAAATGAGGAGAGGGTGGAAGGAAGAGAGAAATATGGCAACCATGATTTCCGGTGACAAAATTTTGATATTTATCTAAAATTACTAGTCCTTACACAAAAATATTACAACATTGCTGGACACCACACCACAAATATATAATGAGGGGAGAATCCTAATAATATCAGATGGAACATAAGAATGGTGAAGCCACTTATTACTTAATTTTAGAAACTATTTCTCTTACTCTGTTTTCTTCTCATCAATCTGTGAGAAGTCCCATTCCTCCAATGGCAGCCATGCCAGATGATCCTCCTGAGTTGTAGTATCTGAACTCTGAACACAGGATTTAGTTTCCACCTGCTGAAATGCAGACCTGCCTGCTGTTGTGTGTACTTTGCCACATAATACAACTGCACTTTGGTCACTCTTTTGAAAACTACAACGTGAAGCTTCCAAATTTACTGAGTCAGAATTGGAACTCAAATCCTGCAATTCAATGTCTTTAGATGACACTGTACGTTTACTCACAACTGCACTTTCTTCAGTTTTATCTTGATTACTTTGAAGATTACAACCAAAAGCTTTATTATTTGAGTCAACTACATCTGTACACTGAGTGGAATTACTTTTATCAATTTCCAGAAGACTGGAGGAACAAGCTCCATCATTATTCAGATCTACACACTTTTTAATAGTAGATTTTTGAATATTGCTATCAGAAACTTTGATCTTTGGGTTTTCCAGAAACAATTCACATATGCTAGTATCATCATTTGAAATCACAGTTCCAGTTTCTGTTACATATGATCCAGTATTAACAGGCATTCGATCAAATTTGTTAATTAGAGAAATATCCTTTGTGTCTATAAGCTGCTCTAAACTGTTAGCTTCTACATCACAACCTACAGAAGGCACATCACTCACATAGTGCTCAGTAACAGGCAAGTTTTCACATTTCATGTCTTGAACATCATGACTTTCAATTTTCTCTGATAAGCTATCCAATTTTTTACAGTCTGATGTATTATTCAAACTAATACAATCATCATTTTCATCTTTTATGGTCCTCTTATTACCAGTAGATATTTCACTAAATTTCTCGCTAACCACTTTGACAGTTGTACTATTTGAAGACTCATCTCCCTGTGTACAAGTATTTTCATTTGTCGTAAGTTTTATTTTTTTGCACAGTGAAATGTGATGAACTCCATCTCCCATTACACCATTATTATAAGCATCATCCAATGAATCAGAGAGAGAAAAACCTTTCTTCCTTCCTTTGTCTGCAAAAGTCTTTTCCAGTTTTACTATTCCTACCTTTGAATGTTTTGTAAGTTTGCTTGAAAGGGTGAGCTTTCTGGTTTTAACAGTGGGTGTTGCATGGATGACATCTGGAATCTCCTCCTCACTGCATAATTTCCTTTTAACACATGAGGTCTGCCTTGGTGTGGTAGAAATTAAATCATAGTTATCATTAAAGTGTTTTATTTCTTTTATTGGAGATGCCAGTAATTCATCATCTGAAATTATAACTTCTGAAAAGGATTGCTGGACCGGAGACTTAATTGGATCCTTCTTAAAATAGTGTGAAGTGTGAACCCCAACAGATATATGACTACTGTTATCAGATAAAACAGGCTGTGTCTGTTGATTTTGCAGCTGATTTTGCTTCACAAAGAAACTGGATATTTTTGTTTGTCCTTTACCCAGAATTACCTATAAAAAGGCCAAAAAAATTAATGTTGTTTACATTAAAGAAGATTGCAAAAATGTTATACAAAAACTATCTCCTTAACCAACTACACAAATAGTGTTTTATCCATAAATGAAACTGTGAACAAAGTAAACAAACTGATTATAAATAACATAACAAAGAAACATTAAAGAAAAGTATGATATTTCTACTTAAATACAACTTTAACAAACTAGTGTTAAAAAATTACAATGAAACAAACATTACAACACTTAAGCATAACGTGTTCTCACATAATATTTAAAAACAAGCATAGTATGACCCATCAAAGTTGACAGGATTGTCCAGTTATATACAGATTGGAAAGTACCAGTCAAACCATTGCACTTGGAAATACAATAAGATTTGAAGCTCTCAGTACTTACGTCTTTACGACCTTTGCCCATAATTAAATTGCAATTCAATTTCATAATCTGTAAGCTGAAGAATGCAATTCTATCCTACTCATTCACCCTTAAAAGACAGCAAGCAACATTAATAACAAACACAATCTTGGCGCCACCTCGAAATTCATATTCGATAGTTTCACTCGAAAACCAGAATAGCCAATACACGGACTGGAATTATAATCTTTAACCTACCAGATCAGAAGGCAACAAAATTAAAAAAAATACTTTCGATAAATTACACCTCAAAAAAGCATTTTCCACATATGTTTTAATAATTTTGTCATTATAGACCCCACCAGTATGTTGGTATACATATTCCAGTAACATTTTATTACAGTGAAGACTTTTAGTGCGCACTGTTGCCGCGAAAGTTGATATAACATATTAAATGTTTTGGAGAGTCATCTGTTGGCTGATGTCATAATGTATCATTTTTTGTTGGCATACGTCATACATAGTGTTAAAGAAGAGTATACAATATACATGAGTTACGGAAATTTGAGGAGGGACTTTTAGCACGAGAGGTTTTAGTACCACATTAATAGTCCCAAAAATTTTTGGCAAGTAAATGGTTTCTCTGATATAAAATGGACACCAAGGTCATAATTACTTTAAGCACCCCTCAGAAAGCTGAAAGCAGTAAAATTAATTATGGTGTGTAATGCTAATTAACAGGGTCGGTAGGCCTAGTTCTGAAACGATGGCGACGGAAGGTGAGGAATGTGAACTCCAACAACTGGTTCCGTCGGATGATGACTCCAGAATGATGAGCAAGTCTGGTGAAGTGACACCACCAGTAACTGCTGGTGTGAGTAAAGTGACTCAAACCTCTCCCACTTCCCCTGACAGTAACAAGGTCAGTAATAACAATAATGATGTTCACATTAGTCAAGTCACCTGCATGTGAACATCTATCACATAATAACGATTTTATCTTTTACAAGAATCATCAAATATTTTTGCAGGTGTCATCAAGTGCAGGAAGTGTGCGAGGAGCTCAGAGCCAAGGGTCAGGGGGCTCACGCAATCCGAATAGAATGTCAGCAGCTCCTATTTTGGGAACATCAGCAATTACATCACCTGCAGGTGATAAGATTTTTAAGGAAAATTATTTTATTTATTTGTGGCTTGTTTAATGATGCCATTAGTTGTACAGAATATGTCCCAGAATGATTCATGAACAGGAAAGGAGATGGAAAGAAGTGGTCATAAAATAAAGTTGTTCCTGGTACTTATATAAACACTGTGCCATGCTTATGTATGGGGCAATGGAGATATAGCTCCATGATTTCTTAACATCAGCATTATAGCTGCCAATTTAAAACAGTAAAAAAATAAACATTCAGAAACTTTCAATGTAGTCCATGACTGATCAACATTGTTTAGGGAATTCACGGTAACCACAGTTCCTTCTGGAAAGTTCTGAAAAAGACTAATATGAACTCTACCATTACATATCTTAATGTTCGTGTTTTATATGTGTTTGTCTCAGGATCTGTTACTGGAAGTCAGCATACAAAATTTCTTTATGTGAATGAGAGATTGCCTTGCGCATCTTCACTCATGCTGGACAATTCACCCTCTTCACGTGAACCAAGGCTGAATCCAGTAGCAGCACGACTACACAAAACCAAGAAAGGTACAAAGTTTAGACAGCAGCAGTCTGGTAAATGCAATTTGACACTTCAGTATGTACATGTGAGGAAATTGCGCTGTTCTTGATATTTATGGGGACATGATGCAACTATGTAATTCAGTATTTGACAATTAGAATTTATGATGCAGTTTTGAATCTTAATATAAAATTATTCTTTACTACTGTTACAATAAAGTTCACTCTTTTGCTGTGGTTATTGCATTAACATATTACCCCTACAGTGTTATTTTGTATTTATCCATGGAATATTTTAATAATATATGAACAATAATTTGTAATGACTGAAGTAGCTACTCAAAAATCGAATCAGTGTTGAAGTTAACTTTCTATGTAATTTTTAGTCTCTCTATAAGAGAAATGCTGATATGCTATAAAGCAAAGATGTAACAATGAGTACAGCACCCAAAATAGCCTTGGTTGTATAATAACTTGTACATGGATCACAAAATTTTGTACACACATTCAGGTATGGATGCAGTGTCTGCCACAAAACACCCTTGCTTATAGTATTTTATCTTGCAATTTAAATTCACCATGGAAATAATGCTCACAGACCATTTAAATCTACTTTTAAATATATCATTTTATTTCAGTACACTGCCCCCTTCAATTTCCTATGGTTTACTGCAATAGGGCATATCTAGGGTTAATTCCGCACTTGGGGAAGGAGTTATTTCAAAGTTTAAATCTACAGCAAGACTGGTTACAAAATATGCCCTCTATGACAGCCAGAAGATGGAATAAAATGAAAAAACATAATTTATTTTTGTGTTGTCTTGATTAGGATTTGTTTTGTTATTTCTTTCTATACTTAATTTTATTCAGCAAAAATGCCCTACAGTACTGATGGTAATGTGACATAACTTTTATAAAATGCCTCAGATAATTTGAATTAACAAAGAACTTACAAAAGTATTTTTCAATTAAACTGTTCAACACCAAAGTTATTAAGAAATTAAGTAATCACTGTTCTGTGTGAGAAATGTTTAATACAGTTCACTGTTGTCAAGAAAACAATATAGTGTAAGCTAATAAATAAGAAGTATTCAGTTTGAATACACCTATTTAATATACTAATGACCTATATAAAATGAAAGTGATGTTAGAAAAAGAAGGTATATTTAATATAGCATCTGATCATAGCATAAAACATGAAAGCTGTATTATATTTTGTAACTGTGGTGTTTTGTTTGAAATGCATGAAAGCTTAAAATGGTAGCATATTGTGTTTCTTTTGTATTGCACATTATTTGCATTAATATTACTGTATTATATTTGTTTATTCTTTAATTTATGTAGCTTGGTTGTAGAATCATTATTATTATTATGTTTGGCACACTTGTTTTGTTTTTGTTTTAGTTTAGTTTACTTCTGTTTTGTTTTTGTTTTAGTTTAGTTTAGTTTGTGCTTTGTTTTGTTTGCACTATGAGGTAGGCATAGACATGGGTGCAGGTCGGCGCTCGTGTCAACACCACTCTTTTCTCTCAGATGTAACAGATGTTCGACGTATGGAGGCAGCTCTACTACACCTTCTTGAAGACTTCCATTCTGGCAAACTGCGGGCTTTTGGTGAGTCTATCGGACCATGATCTTGAGAGTGTGGGGAGTAGCAGGTAGGATAATGAGAACAAATACAACTACCCTCTAAAAATGAAAGGTATGCACCTCAAGTTATTTATAAACATTTTTGCACTTCATACATGAAGTGTACTTCCTATACACACACACAAGGAGTTGAAGATATTTCTGTACATACATTCATCTAAATATTTTTGACATCAAGTGAGTTCCTCTGTGTTTTTGCATTGTATACTAAGTTTGTTGACTTCAGTTTTATCCAACTTAACATATTCAAGGAATGTGACTGTTTTTGACAACATATTTCTGAACTGTGGGTAATTTGTTTGTGGGTCCAGAGCACCATGTTTGTCTTTATTGTTCATGTATTTTACCTAATAAATCATCATCACCGTAAAACTATGATTGATGGAGGTATTTTAACCAAATCTCCCTTCTCTTCCTTATTGTTCTTGATAACATATGCTATACCTGTCTGGAAATGTGTCAGTCTCTACTTTAGAATGTTAATTCTAGAACTAAAATAATGCTAATATTTCTCTCTCTCACCATACACTGAACTTTGTAATAAATTATTAGACTTACTGAAAATATTAAAGTCTTTGAATGTGTCACTAGTTGGTTTATTCTATCACTCAAGTGCCCTGAAGTTTATATTTTACATGTATGAGACATCTTCTATTCTGACATTTAGGACATTACTTTTTTACTTTCCTTGATATTAACAAATGCCATCTACTAATCATATACTGCTGTGAATATTGTTTATCTCTTCACTTGTTTGTTGCAAGACTCCTACCATGTATTGGAGGAATTTCATATTTGCTGTATCAGTGCAACCCATCACTTCATACTGATGGATAGATTTGCAGTTTTAGAACACTTCATCATGTCTCATCCATCTTCTCTGTATTATGTTTTGTTAAAGTATCAGAGATTTTGCATCTCAGTGTTTAAAACCCTTCAAAACGTAGTGCCTTATAATTTGTATTACTGTTTCCTCCCCTTGTAAAATTCTTCATTTGATGAGCCTAAAATGACTGAATTAAGAATCTAAATCATACTGAATCCTTATTTTGTAAGAGTCTTTGCATCGTTCATCTGAACATCTTCTTAGTTATATTTTAAAGACTCAAAATCGTTGTTACTCTCATGGCATTGGATGGAAATGTGTAGTCAGATTTACCCATAGCAAAAAAAGCTGCCGGTATCCACAGCATTGGACCCAGTGCTATGGTGATAAGAACAATGTGTGGAAGTATGAACTGTTTACAGGTTTTATGCTATCCTCTTTTGAATTGACAAATCATAGATTCTTTACACTAAAGTTATTTTTCTTCATTCTAAATTAGCAATTATGTTTGTGTATTACAACTTGCTGTATACTTGGATTACTTCTATAACAATTATATGGAGATATACAATATTTTTACAATAAATAATTTATTCTGTAGGTAAAGACTGCAGTATGGAACAGATGACAGGGATCCGCGAGCAACAAGAGCGATTGGCAAGGCTGCACTTTGACTTAGGAGCGCAACAGGAACTGTATGATCCTCTCAGTGATGAAGGTTTACATGCTGGCCAGGAGAACATGCATCGCCTTATGGAGAGTCTAGAGCAGCTCAGTGTATCTATTGAGAGATTACATTCCTTCTCCAGTGACAGCCGAGATAGCAGTTTATTACAAGATTAACATCACCTGTACTCTAGAATAAGAAATTGTGCTGAGGCTTTCTGTGGTGCTGTGGAGGAGTGATAACTGTGATCTTTTCCATGAAAAAAATTGTTATAATAAGGAATATATGAACTGTTCAAATTCTGAACTATTTGTGAATGCCTGAGCTCACATTTAAATATGTCACTACAGATAAATTTGGTTCATACTGGATGATATGACTAGTACTTGTCTTGGACCCCCCAATTTGTACTTCAGATATGAGATGTTCATGTGTTTAGTATTGTGATACAATCCTTTCAGTGTTATAATCTAATGGAACAGGCCTCAACACTGCATTATTGTCTGAATAAAATGACCACTTGTAATTATTTTGTATACTAGATACCTATAAAGAAGGGAAATAAAGAAAGCAATGCCAAGAGCCTAGAATTTGCATAAACACTATAAAGTATGTATTCAGGTTAACACTAACTGGACTAACCCCTGGTTGCAGTTCTAATGACTATTATCCATTAAGATAGAAATCTACTTTTGTATAGAAATAAAAAGGGGATTAGCAAACCTTTGAAAGTATTTTCAAGCTTGGGAACAGTGAGTATAATTTCTATTTACATATAAAACCAACAACTAGCAGTTTTAAAAATTATACTTGTTAGATCAGGAATAAATTAACAATTTTATTTTTCACTGCTACTGAGAATCCTCTTAGCATAATAAATGCTGAGAAATAAACTTCACATCTCTTTTACCCACACTTTCTGACCTACTTTGTGATCCTTAACCCAGATATTATTACCCAACACTTTAACCAAAGATAATTTTCTTAGCTCCAGTCTGAGTATGTACTATGGTATATATCATACATCGTTTTGGCTAGTTTCATAGTTTACACTTCACTTCAAGACCATGGTTCGAAACTCTCATTTACTGTTTACAACAACAAAAAATCATACAAAATGTTGTGCAACTATATGAGAAAAATATTTTATGTTATAAACATTTATTTGATGATAACTAAAAGTTGAAATAGTGGTTGACATGTAGCAGGATGAACTGTATGGATCTCATTTATACAGTGTATTCCAGTCACTGCTCCCACAGATTTCAAAGCACAAAAAAATTACATTGATTTTTTTAGTGGCATTTATATAATTTTATTGTTTTGAGTAGCAGTTTTACCACACACCAGAGAATTCGTAGCCACTTTATCAATCTTCTGATCTGACATGGTTGGGAATTACTATTATAGCTGCGTGATACAGACATATAGCACAAGCACCTGTTACGTTGGTTCTACTAGATGTGGGACGTTACGAATTATGAGGTTCGAGCAAACTTATGACATAACGTCCATACAAAGTTTCATTAAAGTCTTTGCAGTATTTTTTTAATATTAATGTACCACAATCAGAGAACACATTTAAAGTCTGAATTGGGTAGAAGGTTAAGTTAGGTTATAACAGGTTACGTTATTGATACGCATGCGGATATGATCACGGGTAATGGCGTCATCATCACTCCTTTCACGAATTCAAGCAACGTTGAAGTTGGTATTACCAGGTGTGGGAATATGAGTTTGGAGCACCTGTGATATAACGTACATACGAAATTTAATTAAATCTTGCCATTATCTAGTTAAAAAGTAAGACAGTCAGACACCATAGTTTAAGTCTGAGTTGGGTTACGGTAGGTTATGTTTATGATGCTCATGCACAGATCATCATCGGCAATGGCGTCATTATCACTCCCATCTCAAGATTTCAAGCAAATTCTATGGCGCCATGGCCTCCTTCAAATGACACTTACAAACTTGCCAATCGAGATACTCTGGCTTCAATATGTAACGTATAAATGGTTAATTAAGCGGTGGTGGGTTTGATCCTATGCGGATCGGTTATTTTGGATTCCTTTAAGTTTGATTGGGATAAGTTACATTGGATTAGGTTGCGTTTTGGGTTAGGTTAGGTTTAGTTAAGTCAGGTAAGTTAAGGGTAGTTATATAAGGTTGTTTTACGATGGGTTGGGTTGTCCTGGAGAATTTCTATCGTGTTCATCGGGTGGTCGTGGGGATTTCCTGGAGAATTCCATGAAAATTCCTGGAAACGTATGCGGAAAATTATTTGTCATGGAGAATTGCTGGAGAAGTCCTGGAAGGTTATTTAGACTCCTTAAATTGTTCCCGCACCCTAGCTTGTTTACTACTTGCACTGTGACTTACGCTTCATAGTTTTACAGATGTAGGTTCATTAATAAGTTATTTCCTGTTTAAAACAATCGTCCTCTTTGCTACTATTCGTTATAAGACAAAGCAACTCCTGAAATCCATGGTTAATTCTTCTCAATTCGCAAAATATTAATGTCCCTGCATTAAATATCAGTTTCAGCAAACATCAACGAAACCAACTTCACTAACCTGTCTTTCCTGTCTCCTGGTATTCAGTTGACTTGGTCCACAAAGTCACCACATTGAATGTCTATTCACTAAACACTAGACAGAAATTTCACGATACTATAGTACTTGCATTAATGTGCCGATCAGATCACCGCACATAATTATGCTCAACAACAACAAATATCGCGTCATAGAAATCGCTGCTGATACAGATTCAGTTAATGTCGTTTAAAATCTAAAAGATAAACCCAGTATCTTAAATTAGATTTCCCGTACTTTCCTCTGTACTTGCAATCAAATATACCAATTCATTATCATCACATTGTCATTTATCAATTCGAAGCGAAATAATCTGGACCTCCAAGTGTCGTTAAACAAAGGAATAAACAACCGTCGGACATAATTCATATCGACATCGTCAGCCCTCATGTAACTTAACATGGTTGTTTTGTTATTTCATTAAGGAATATTAGGTTATCTCACGATTCTCAGCAATATAAGACAAAACTTCCGATGTCACAAATTAACTTTACCATAGCAGTTCCTATCTTAAACTGTAACATGCAGGCTTACGAAACTGAAGGATGGTAAACAAGATTTGGGCAAATTCGCTGATGAGAAACGGGTCACTTTTCGATGAAGTACATAGTAATGAGAATACAGCAATCTATACAGATAAATATGTGACTCCAGTTAACAATTTCTTTTCTCCGAATATAAATTTTGAAGATGAATTGAAACTTTAAATCAACCTAAATCGCCACCCATCATTGAAATATCATAAATTAACACGCTAAAAGACCCGAACGTCAGCACACACACCCGCACCTCACTAAAGCAATCGTCTTACTGCATTTCACATCAGCATCGATCATTAAAATATGATATTCCCTTTGTATCGATAATCTTGAACTACATTACCTCAGGATGCAATCGAACCACTCTGCTCTGTCACACAATCATTCGACATCGATTTATGCCATCTATTGATTAATGCATGAAGTTAAAACCTCCGTGTCTTCTTCTATAATAGCTTTGATTTTATTACGTGTTGATGATCGAAAAGTCTTCAGATTTCACTGAACGATTTCTTTCCAGCTGTTCCTTATCTACGTGTTCTAATATCTGGCAGAACCATATTCTTGTGGGTCATACCATGCGTCTCTTTCGTTAAAATTTTAATTAGGTATGAAGTCCGCATACGAACATACTAACCAAGATGTGATAAATAATTTTTTGAATTGCAAAACTATCTTTATCTAAAATACAAATTTTTCATGAATCACAAAGGAATTGCATTAAATTTATTTAACCAAATTATATATTGTTTATTAATTTCAAAATTATTTCATTATGTTCCATGACAAACATCGATCTAAAATATATAATGCTTATTTCTGATTACTTTAATAAACTCAGAATTCCTGATAAGATGAATTTTAGCCATGTATTCAATCATGCTATGTTTACAAGAAATTAACAGAAGTAACCCACACTCGAAACGTTGGCGGAAGAAATGGTTCATTTACCATTCAGCAACCTGACACGGCTTGTTGCCCGAGAGTCTTTCATCAACACACTAAACTGTTTTCACATTGTAACAGTTTTACTATAATTATGGTTTTAATACCAGTGTATGTTAAGATGACAATTTCTACTGATAACTGTTACATTGCATAGTCTATGTTATTGATTTTTGTTTTTGTCTTTTACAGTGAATTTGCTTTTGGACACATTTAAAAAATTCAATAGAAATTATTGAAGACTTTAGTCCATATGTAAAAGTTATTCATTCATTATCAACAATATGTGTACCACCAGCAATGTATGTGTGCAGAATGTCACATCCAAGATAATGGCTTCATCATACTTCACCCTAACAATTTTGAGCACGTCACATTGGTATTACCGAGTGTAAGAAGTATCCTGCGGCACTAAGTCCATACCAAATTTCATGACGAGGTTTACAGTGACTGTGTAGTTATCAAATGTGAAGAGACTGTTAGCATCTGTTAGAATGGAAGTGTAAGATGTTAGAAATTATGTTTGCAGTAGAGATTAGATTTCATGAATTTCTGTCCAGCCATTCCCTAGTTATTAAATGTTATATGGTTTGAACAACAGAACAATGTAACAGTACAGGCCTACATCTCCCCCTTTTTTATAAAAATGTTTAGAAATTATTTGCCCTAATGCTTAGATAATGTATATAAATTTATACCAGTGTTCTCTTCAGTAGCAGAATACTGCTCCCCTTTTCATATTAGCTAATTCCAAAATCATGTGATGGGTCCTATAAAACATGTGGCCCATAGGCTGCAGATTTCTGAAAGATGCCCTATGCTATGATGTTGGTCTGACTGACAGAGTTCCAACAAAGAAAGAAGTAGAATACATTATATAAAGAAAAATAACTCAGAATCAACATCCATTATTATATTTTGAAAACTGCATATTTTACAATACATACAGATGTCAATATTAACTTACATGAAGACAAGAAAAAGTCAGTTGCAGATGTTTTGTCAAAGAATTGACAATAATCACACTTTCTTAATAAAAATTGTATTCAACCATTACAGTATATTTTCGTGCTCGTTTTGAGTGGCTGAAAAACTGACTGTATATAACTGCACTAATCTTGGCAAACTAGTAATAAATGAATGACTTATCCAATGAAATATATAATCAATTTTTCAGTCCCTCAACTGTGAACATGTATATGAAAGAAGACACTGTACAGTTGTACCTGGACTCATTTTATTTTTTATTTGTTCATAACGTATACTGAGACATGCATTTCTGCACTTTTTGGAGACTTTAAAAATAGTTTTGCTAGTCATCACTTGTAAACATTTATAGTAAAAATTATAACTTATGAAAATTTCTAGAAATGAATCATTACTGAAATGCAAAACAAATTGTTTTTATTCTTTCCAATCTAACATGAGGAGCGGGGGTTTTGTGAACACACATACTGTACATGATATCAAAAGACCATTTTAACAAAGTTTTTGCAGTGCAAATGGTGAAAATATATTACTTGCTTTGTTTAGTGGATACAGTATTTTGTCTATGGACACCAACTTTCTTCTACCAAACCTGAACAATGTAGCAACCAACATTCAAAGAAATTCATACACTAGAGTACAGAATACAGTGGACAGTTGCATCTCTCATGCTAGGAGAATTAAGGTTCTCATGGCAGTGAAATTTGAATTTATGCAGATGTGAGGTTTGAGTGCAGCATTTTCCTATAGGCCAGGGTATTGTGTTTCATTAGTTTCATCACACTCTTCAAGTTACACAACAAACATATTTGGGTCTTATAGCAACTAAAAGTTTATCCTGGAATTTTTTTGCCAGAAAGTGGTTGTCATAAGCATTCAAAACTGGAAATTGGGTAATAATAAAATAACAATACAAAGTATGATGTAAACTCTGTCAGCAATATAATATGATGTAAAGAAGAAGAATTACAAGAATGACGATGTGACTGAAGTTGAAACACATATAATGCATTCAAAATGTGGTTTCTACTTTTCTTATTTCTGCTTTACGCTTTTGTCTACTGGCATCCATTATTCCAGTATATGAATCACCTTCATGTTGAAAAGGTACTTTAAAATCCAATCTAAAACTAATGTGTCAGTGTTTTTAAGCTGCATACATGGGAAAAACATATTTCTCATTGCTGAACTTATCGGTGTAGTTGCAATGGAATACTGTAATAAGACATCATTATGATCACTCTGAGATGATTATGCACATGAAATGTCGAATACATTATGCATTATTAATATTGCAGTATTGTCATCTGCCAAAAAATATTGTAAACAAAAATATAATAGCTTGAACACATTCCATGTAAAACACAATGAATGTGTAGAAGCATGTTGTAAATGTTTTATCCCTATACATGTTGACCTGCATCACAATTATATCAAGTGAAAACTGCTAAGCGTGCTTAAACCATATTAAGTAATGCATTTTTCCTATGACCATATCAATTCAAATCCTCTGTTGCTTATCATACAAAAAAACACATTTATGGATACTACATTGGCATCCTATTACAAAACAAATGGTGTCCCTCTGTTGCTTATCATACAAAAAACACATTTATGGATACTACAGTGGCATCCTATTACAAAACAAATGGTGTCATAGCTTTCATTCCAACCATGTTCAAGGTTCAAGACATGTTAATAATTAGTAATCTCTTGGCATCATTTAATTTCAAGAAGGAACATTGATGTAAGCATTTTTAAATTTAACCAGAACTTTAATATCTTTCAAATTGCTAACATCACACTCTCAACTTTTTCATGTTTAGTGCAAACATATTTTTGTGTACTACAAAATACATATTTTACAAACTAATTTATACGTCACATTAATACATATTTTAAACTAACTAAACAAATCAGCTGTTAAAATATTCAGAATGATTTAAAACAATACAGTGCCAAGAGATAAAGTTTTAATAAAGAGTTATGACAACAAAACTGTTTATAATAATCACTTCTGACATTACAAATTAAACAATTATAAGGCATTCACAGTGTTAGCAATACAGCAGGCTACTGCGTTCATTTGTCCTACTTACAAACTACAAGAATAGAATCCCCTAGAACCATCCACACTGTACAATATATAACCAAGATGTTAGAATAAACTAAAACCTAGGGTGGTTTTTCTTGATGAAACAGTCATTATTATTCATAATTAGTACCTTGATGTTTAATGTGTACTCTTGTTTGCTAATACTAATACACTTCTCAAGAAAAACTGATATAACTAACAAACTGAATTGCACAAGAGATTTCTCTCTTATATTTATGTAGAACATGGCTTTGTGAATACGACCGACATCACATTTCAACTGTGAACTAGTGTGTTGTGAAACAAAAAATAATTACATACAGTATATGCAATCTTATTTTAATTGTAGTATACAAGTATAGAATATCTATTAATTTGATATTGAAAAATCGTATACATTCTTGGGGGATTTAGAGTTCAGTAAAATTTAATAATGTTCCTGTTTTCTCATAGTGTGTAAGACTTACTATTAATTAAGCATTACAATTACTGCAGACCTCATTCGGACTATTGGTGACACCTTTTTCCTGTTTTTATTCCACAAACTCTATGTTTATACCAAAGCAGATACCACTTTTGTTAAGATTTATGAATTCAGGATAATTAAATAAATAATTCTCACAGAACACTTGAAAACACTGTTGATTTTGTATCTGAATAATACCTAACCTTTATTGGTTGTGCATCACAGCTTACAAGTGGTCTAGCTGGCCATGTGTCTATTCTGCTATCACGACTGTTGAACCACATCACAGCTAAGATCTGGCTGATGACCTTCTAATACAGGGATTTAAATTCCACATTCTCATAAGATGAAGGTTAAACTACATCGGTGTTCTAGAAAAGAGACATAAATTAACCAATTAAACTTTTATGAAGATGTACAAATACATATTAAAATATTTTAGCATTAAATTCGGTTGAAATAATCTGCTGAGGTAACAACACTGTGCTTATCTTAATAATTATTATACAGTGTTTATAACTGCAGCAAAAAGTACATAAAGACAAGTTTAACATTTGATGGGATCCACTTTAAGATGGACATCAGTGTTGCCAATGTCTGTATGAGATCTGTAGAAACTTTATTGACATAGTATACTGTTGTAAGAACCTGAGCTGCCAACCTCCACCTTCTACTTCACATACTCACAGAAGAAAACTTCTGTCAAGGTGATTCATCATCCTGAAAGTAGAGGTACTTATTATCCCTTTTTGTTTTCCTGAGAAGCACAATACACACAATACAAAACCTAAATTTTAGGCACCAACATGTGCCAAAATGGCATCACCAGTCAATAAATGATAACACCAATGATATAATTTAATAAACTTTGTCTTTTCCACAAACAAATGGCTTTTGTTTTGATCAGTAACCTGTAATCATAATAGAATGTTATTATAAAAATAAGTATGATGCATTTGATTTTTGAGTCAAAGTAACATTTATGGAACAATACTTGTTCTGAAATTTGAACTGAAATTCTGAAATATTAAATTCCTTTTCATTATAGATTGACAATGTTACGTATGAAGTATGAGAAGAAATAATGAATATTTTCCATCACCAGCATGCAGGAAACAATTTCCAAATTTACTCAGCATGTAATGAGAATTGGAGTGCATATGAAAATTATAGACACATAATTAAAAATTAAAAGACTTAACAGCATGCTTTAAATATAATAACAAATTAACATGCTTCACAAGAAAACACTACACCAGGACACACATTTTTAGATAAGGCAAAAAAACAAACAAACAAAAACTCGATACTATGCAAACGTAGCAATGATGCCAAACTAAGTGAAATCTGGTTACCCTTCTGGAAAGTCTTGTGTGCTAGGGATAATGTATGGTAATCAACAATTTATTCACCATGAGCACAGCACAGGCGACCTCCAAAGAAAGATGTAGAAGAAACAAGAACAAAGAGAAAGAAAATAAACTACTTAGTGTACTTAAAGCAAAAACTCCACACTGTAATCCAGCTAATTAAAATAAAGAGTGACAGCTAAGTAAGCAAGTTAATTATGTCTCCAACAAAGTGTGATTAAATCTTCTTAACTCAATCCCTTTTTACCTTCCCATTCCTACACTCTGAAACAAAAATATCAAGGTAACTTTTCAAGGATCCTTTTTCATCTCTCTGTGCGTTTCTTACTGACTAGTGGATTAAATGACCATAAGTGGGAAACAGTAAAATACTGAAAATATGGCTTCACTTCATTTAAGGTTCTGAAGCAGCACCACTGACAGAAACTATGACCAGAACACATCTGATTCTTACTCTAAAAACTGGTTTAAATTTCAAAACAGTCATCCGCTTTATCTATATCCTGGCACTGCAATTACAGAATCACCGTATACATAGGCTGAATAGCCAAATGAAATAATAACCATGGCCTTGATATGCAAGAATATGCAATTGTCCATATAAGTCCACTACAAATCCTACAATACTTATGAAGTGACACAATAATAGGGTCCCTGATCTCTCACCTTTTATTTAATTAATTGATGGCATAAGTTTTAAAGACAAAATCTCCTGCCAGTATTAGAAACTGTACGTATTAAAATTTCAAAAATATTCATTCAAAAACTGAATGACTTGAGGAGAATATGTACAAAGAATATGACAAAAATAACATGACTGTTACTAAGGTTTATAATCAATATAAAAACTTCACTGCTACATAAATATATAAAAATAAAATATTTATATTATATGGTAGATAAACTAAACCAATCATGCATAAGCATCTCCAGATTCCCCAATTCTGCTATCTGATCAAGAGGTAAAATTCAGTTCCTGGAGAATCTGGCCCAAAACTGCAGAAGTATGAATGTAAATAAAATAAAGTGAGGTATGAGGTTTTCATGGTGGTGAGAATGATGATGATTTTCTTCTGGGTTTTGATGCTGAGTGT